GGTCCCAGACAAGCCAGGGTATACCATCCACGCAGGCGTGCACCTGCTCCAGGGACCTGTCTAGAAGCCATGGCCCTGGGGCCCAGCTGCGGAGGCCCAGCCCCACAGTGGGTGGAAGCAGTGGCTCAGGTCCCTCTGTGGTTCTGCTGAACCTCAGCCTCCTTATCAGCTCCCCTGGGGGTGCTGCCTCAGCCAGGACATGGTCGTGTGACAACACAGAACGTGGTCCCAGGCCAGGCAGGGCATGCGGCCAAGTGGGGCCAGAGACCCACCTGGAAGGAAGCTTGGGGCCTCAGTTACCTCAAAGTCCCCCCACCAACGTAAACAGGGACCAGTTACACTTACCCCCACCCCACCCGGGAACCAGGGCCCCAGAGCAGAACAGCCCGTAGGGCGAGGTGCCACATGAGGAAATGGGAACCCCTGGGCACGAACACTGCCTCCTGGATTCCAAGTGGAGGGCCAAGCTGGCAGGCTCCCTATGCCCCACCTCTGGCAGGGGCAGACCACGTTTCAGCACTGGCAAGAAGCCTGCCACCCTGGAGGGCAGTCTCGTGGTCAGTAGGGGGCCCGAGAGGCCCTGGTATAGTCACCCTGCCTGTGGGAACTTCCCCAGGGGTCTCCAGGTCCAGACACACGTGTATACTGTCTGTGCACGGTACATGTGGTGTGTGCTGAATGCGTGCATGGTCTGGAGGGTTTGTGTCACACACGTGGGCACATGCCCGCATGTGCACTGAGGTGTGCTTGTGTGTACTGAGTATGCATGGTACGTGAGTGTCTTGCACAGGGTGCCTATGCCTATGTGCGGTCTATGTAGTGTGTATGTACTGTGTGGGTGAGGTGTACACATTGTGGGCATGTCTGTATGTGATATGTATGTAAATGTGCGCAAGGTATGTGTACAGTATGCAGTGTGTGGGTGGTGTGTATGGAGCAGGTGTGCATGGTGTACATATTGTGGGGTGTATATACTGTGCATACTGAGTATGCGTGGTGTGTACCATGAGTATATGCCCGAGTGTGGTGTACACACCGTGAATGTCGGGTGTGTGTACTGTGAGCATGGGTGTGGTGTATGTTGGTGTGTTGTGCGTGCTGTGTGTGTACACATGTGGTGTACATAGTATGTGTGCCGCAAGCATGGGTGTGGTACACGTGGCATGTGCAGTGCATGTGCGGTGTGTGTACATGTTGCAGGCACGTAGTGTGTATACAGTATGTGTGCCACGAACATGGATGTGGTGTATGCTGGGGGGTGGGGTGCACGAGCCGTGTGCAGTGCGTGTGCTCTGTGGTGGGGTCAGCTCCTTGGAAGCCACAGGTCCCGGTTTGCTGGGTCACACCACACCTGGTAGGCCAGCACGCAGGGTGAAGGCCACCAGGCCAGTTCTGGGAAGCCTGGTCTCTCGCACAGGGCAGTGACTGGAAGTGACCCCGCTCCCTGACCAGCTGCCAGGCCCCAGCTCCCACTCAGGTGCTTGTTCCAAACCCAGGATCCAAGTGGGGCTGAGTCTGCTGCACTCCCCACGGTGGTGCTTCCACGCACAGGGGTGGAGGCTGCGGGTGTTGGGGGGCTGCACTTACAAGACAGGGGCTGGGGTAAACTTGAGGCCTGGAGGCTGGGCTGAGTGGGCGGGGACACTGCAGTCAGTTCTCCCTGAGGAGGGGGGGGGTCCTTGGCCCTCCTGGCAGTGTGCCCTGTACACCTTCATGGGCACCTCATCTCAGGGGAACGGCAGAGTGCCTGTTCGCGGCCACCAATGGCCCCTTCCTCAAAGCACCTGGCAGGCAGACACCTTGAGGCAATCCCATGCCTGCCATGAAACTGTGTGGGTGCAGGAAACCCCCACCCCCACCTGCCCGGCCTGGAAGGCAGGCGGCAAAACTGCCAAAATGATGGGTAGGCACGTGCTGTCTGGGTGAGAGCAGGCAGCAAAGCCGTCCTGGAAGGCGGCCACCAGACCCATTACAGAGAGGGCACTCCCCACAGACTCTAAAGCCCCCCACCCCCAGAAGTAGGCCAGCACCATGCCCATCCCACAGGCCAGGAAACTGAGGCCTGAGTAGCCAGGCACCCACCCCTGCCCTCAAACCTGTCCCAGGAGATGGGGCTTCCAGTGGAGCCCCGAGACCAGCTCTGTCTGGGCATTACAGAGGGGGCAAGAGAGTGGAGGTGGGGTGCTGGTGGGAAGGAGAGCGCAGAGGTGGGGTACAGGTGGCAGGAACGTGGATTGGGGCATGAGGTGCAGGCCCGCTCCCCCTCCCCTGCGGGAACCTCTCTTCTTTAAAGATGGGTCTTTTTCTAAAGCCACTGGCCTCCTCCCCATGCCCCATGTCCCCTGAGGGAGGGATTGTCTCTGGATATGCCGGGCATCGGGGACACTGGCCCAAGGGGAGCAGCACCAGCCCCTGGGCCCAGCCACAACCCCCACCCCCTTGGTTACTGGGTCTAAGCCCCTCATTAGCACATGAGCCCTACAACAAGCCAGGAAACCAGTGGTACCCCAGCCAGGTTGACTTAGGGACCAACCCTTGGGTGCAACGCAGGGTCACAGTGGTGTCTGGTGGAGGGGGGGTGGGGTGGTGGTAGAAGTTTTCTTGAGTCACAAGACAGAAAGCCCTGCAGGGCACATGCTCTCCAGGGGCTGCAGGAAACCATCCTCCCACCCAGGAACCCTTGGGGAGGCCCGCCCTGCCCAGGCAGGGAAGGATTCCTTGGGGTGGGTGGTGGGGTGCAGCCTGGTCCACGCTCCACCAGAGTCCCTGATCCACCTCACATAGGTTTCGATTCCTGGGGTTAGGGGTCCAGGGGCCAGCTGAGGAGCAACGGTGCTTCGGTTAACACCCCACCCCCACCCCCGGACCCCCATGTCCTCATCCAAGGCTTCTTGAGGCTGTCTGGGCCGGACAGGCCCATCTCGGGCGACCTCCCTGCTCCCACCCCAGCAATTCTGAAGGTGCCCTCCCCAGATGCAGGCCGGATATGACTCTCAGTCCCAGCTGGGACTGAGTCCAGTCTCTGTCCCCCGTCCCCCCTCCCCCCCTTGCTCCTCCCAAATACCTCCCGCCCCGGCCCCACACCACCAGATGGGAAACAGATGTCCCCAAGCCCAGCCTGAGTTGGCTCCAAGGGCCATCTGAGAAGTTTCCAGCCCCAGCCCACCCCAAGCAGCACCGTCCACCCATGTTCTGTGAGGATGGTCAAGCTAGAATGGGGTACCAGGGAGGGGTATTCCTGTCCAGAGGTGCCCTGGCACCCACTGCCAGGCCCTTCCTGACAGAAAATGGCCCCAAAGCAAAAGTCCCTGGTGTCCCTTCCCTGCAGTTATGGCAGGAGTCAGGAGAGGGCTGTGTTGCAGGGGACAGGGGAGGCCTGGAGACACCCCCCCTACCCCCACCCCTTGTCCCTGCTCAGGCTGCCATCCCATAACCATGTGGGTAGCTTTTTCCAAAGCCGAGATACAGGCCAACACTGCGCACACGCACTGTGTGCCTGCCCCTTGCTTGGAAAGCCACCCCTGTGTCCGTGCCAACTCCGAATGGCTGGGCCCACCACCCTCCAAACCCCCTGGAATCCAAGGGTGTGGTGGGGGAGCTGGTTGGCCACCGAGCAGGACTCCTGCCCACGGGCATGCCCGGGCCAGTGAGCTTCCAGCCGCCCTCTGCCCAGGGCTCCAGGGAGCCCAGATTGGAGGGTGGGCTCGGCGGGAGGCGAGCGCGACACCCGCTGGAGGCCTGGGACCCAGAGCGCTCCAGCCCCAGAACCCATCCAGGGGCAGCGGCCGATGAGCTCATGGGGGCGGGGCTCCTGGCGCCCCGCCTCAAGCCCCCCTTCCGTCCCCGCGCCGCAGGGTGGTCCCAGAAACGGCGACCCCAGGCCCGGGCGGGGCCAGGGCGGCCGGTGGCCCCGGGCGCCCAGG